ATATACGCGAACTAGTCCCTCAGTTTTTGAGATATCGAAATTTCAAATACATCCTTTTCTTTGCCGGAGCTGCCGATAATGGACAACTATAGCATATAGCTGTCATACAAACTGAACAATAAAACTTCAGTTCTTGTATGAAAAAATTTTTGATTTGAGAAGATATTTTCACCAAATTTGGCATTTACTATTTCTCGAAGCAACGCCGTGATATCTGAAGAAATTTTTCAGATCGAACTAATATAGCATATAACTGTCATACAAACTGAACCACCAAAGTTTAGTAATTCCAATGAAACTTCTTTATATGGGAAGGTATATCAGCTACGGTGCAGCCGAAGTTAACGTTTTTTCTTGTTGTTATTTCTTTTTGTCGTCGTTAAAATTTTGGTTTTTGAAAAAGTTACATCTCTATATATTCTTAAAAAATTTAAGTAACTAGTTCGAATTAAATACTAAATCGAGCTCATTGCTCTTACAAGCCACGGTATAAGGTTGTATATAACATGTAGAGAAAATCGCAAACCTATAATCCCGCAGGTAAATACTTTCCAACCGACAATGAGAAATTCATGAGCGTTGATAAATTGAATGCTGGCACGCGAAATGCTTTTCCATTGCGGTAAGGATAATAATCTGAGGCGATTAGTGTGGCCGCAAGCATACCTGCCACGTACAATGGTGAAACTGCATATTACGCTAGTTTGTAGTAGCGACCGCAACCAATTTAAGCGGGGCTATAGAAAGTGGCAGTTGATATTAATGGACAGCGAGATGAGTTTGCAAGAAATTTATGGCGAAAATCTGAATTATTTTGAACATTACGCGTACATTAGTTGACAATAATGTCATTTTGATTTTTAGAATTAGAACCAATTGGAGTTTTTCAAGTACTTAAAGTGATTTACTTACCTATATATACCAAGAAGACCACTGTAGTTTCTTTCATTTGCTGTTTATTTTTTATATTTACAGTTGTGCTGAATTTCCCATGTACAAATTGAAGGGTACTACTATACTTTTCCATTTAACAAATTCGTATATCATAAGGCGTAACGCTTGAGATTCGTTCGCAAGCCAGCACAGCAAGTAGAGTGAACGTGAGCGCATCTAGTAGCACATAGACAAACGGCACAAGATCACTACACCCCAGTCAAACGTTTTGAAAAAAGCCATCACCATTTCGTCGATTGCGATTAAACGCAGGCCAACGCTGCCGCAAACGCCAGCGAGTGCCCCACAGGTGTTATCGCCCAAGCGACAGTGCGCCACCGCCGTTTCGGTCATACCCGCCGCCCAACTGACACCACAAGTCCAGTACGCCGCCACACCAGCCGCCGCAGTCGCTCTCAAGGCCGGTCATCAATTAACCTTTAATCCCGCCGCTGCCGCCGCTGCTGCCCAATACGCCGCCACTGCCGCCGTCAATACACATCAACACCACCAACACCACCACCACACACAGGTCGCTGCCGCAGCTGCAGCTGCCGCCGCCGCAGCACAGCAACAACGCATCGCTGTCGCCGCCCAACATTATAATTCCTCGGCTGCTGCATTGTTAAATCAGCATTTGCATTCGGTTGCAGCTGCATCGCATTCATTGTCACCGGCCGCAGCGGCTGCCGTGGCTGCTGCCGCCGCACATCAGCAGCACGTTGTTTTACAGCAACAGGCGCAACAGCAACAACAACAGCATCATCATCATCACACACAGCATTCGCTGAGTCAGCAGCACGTTTATCAGCAGCAACAGCAACAGCAACAACAACAGCAGTCATTGCGTCAGCAATTGCAGGCACAACAGCAACAGCAACAACAGCATTTGATCATCAGTAGTGCCAGTACAGTTAGCAGCACATCCAACAGCGGCACATCGCTAACCGCAACAGCGCCAACAGCAAATACAACAACTACAACAGCAACATCAGTTACAAACGCCAGTGTCGGCGCTCAAACAGCCACAGCTGTTGCTGCCCTAGCAGCCAATTCGGTCAACGAAACTTCGTCACATTCGAACACATCCTCTGCATCGACTACACCGTCACCGGCGGCAGCGACAGCAGCACTTAATACGCACGACAACAATAACAATACCAGTGTGTTGAGCAGCAGTCCAATTAGTAATAGTAGCAACAGCAACAACAACAACAACAGCAACACAATCATTACCAACAGCTCGACAATGGAAAATCAAATGGCTCTAGCACCATTGGGATTATCGCAAAGCATGGACTCAGTGAATACGGCCAGCAATGAAGAAGAGGTAAGTGTTCTAGATATATGTAACCGAACAATTGAGGCTGTTATCCTTGCCTTTCATATCTTAGAATATAATATCCATTCTCTGTGAACTTTAAGTCCCCGATGATCAAGCATGATACTGAATAGATGAGCTCATGCATTGTTTATGAATAAATTTAGGGAAAGATGTTTTGGTTTGGGTATCGCTTATGTTCTGTAAACAAAACTACAAGAAATATAATGCTCGTATACTCGTATATATATATTTTCCCAAAGTTTCTAGATGCCAGTCTTATCCAAATATTTCTGATTTTCAACTGATTACATTCATACAAGAGCTACGTAAAACGGTTTCTGGGTATAATCCGAAAGATCTAAATTCGTACACATTTTTTAGGTCAATGTTATATAATGTCCTTTGAAAGTAGTTAGATCAGGTTCCCGTGCACCTTCGAAGCCATTGCCGGTAATCGTTTAATACACATAATATGCCCGCCGAGCATTGTTCGCAAGGCTTTGAATATACTGGCCAGTTTGATAGTCTTTGGATCGATAAATTTCCTTGTCCATTCTATTACGTAGACCCGTTTTAACGCTATTTTAGGTTTTTACGTATTTTTCAGTACTAAAGTTGCACCTTCTTACCTCAAAAAAATGTATACGCTTTTCATATATTCTAGACCTTTTGTATTATTAAATTAGATAAGGTATAGAAGTGACGTCTTTCATGCCAAGATTGATATAGATGCCTAGCCAAGACGAAATTGTCAAACGGATGAACTTGCAAGAAAAGGCGCAACTGTCTCATTATCAGTAAACTGTAGACATGTTAGAACTTTGCTTGCTTCTTTAATTTGACAACTGAATAGCTTTGCACGCGTAGTTTTAAAATCCTTCTGGCCCGAAGAAAAGCGCTAGAGATTTAGTGTGCTCCGCAAACTCAGAAACGGCTGCTTTTTCCTGGTTGAAGACGTTATAACAGGTCATCTTACGATTTTAGGGATCGAACAGCCTAAGCTACTTTAACATGTAGAAATCGGAAAACCTTCATACAAAATTTACCTAAATTTTTTCTAAAAAATTAAAAAAAAAATCTTCGCATAGGAATTTCTTATAAAACCAGCAATTTCCCATAAATCCACAACTTTTATTTTCCGTACAGCATTTAATTTTCCAAACAAGAGCAACAACTACATACCAATTTAGTTGGTTGTTCCATTCGAATTATGACGTAGTGCATGTACAATCAAGTGCATAATCAGTTACATTGTGCTATTAATCGCCTTAAAGTATGCTATAAAAGTTTTTAAGTGCAAATTACAGCGAACGCAAGTTGTGGTAAATAATGTTGGGCGAAGCTGTATGCGACAACTGTGTTATGAGACAACAACACAGACGCTACGTAACAGTTGTGAAGCGTGCTTAAAACTTTAATGGCACTCTTTCTATTTGAAATGCTTAAGTGTCCTTGCGAAGCGATCATTTTCGATAACAAAAAGCTAAAAATAAAAAATAACAAAGCTGCGTAATGCGCGCGTGTTTTAGTGTGGATTTTTAAGTAAAAGTGATGAAGGTGTAAAAGTGGTTTCAAGAGTGCCTGCGAAAATTTATTGAGAGTGTATGTAAGTGTGGTTGTGTGCGTGTTGTTTTTAGACTTCATTTTCTGCTTAATGCTTCGTCAATTTTCAATATTAAATCGCCTTTATCGTGTAAGAGCTTAAAATATTTTGACAATTTTTCTGTGTTTGTTTTCAATTTTACAACGGTTCGTGTGGCTTGTGGTATACACGTCATAAGTCTACTGCAGCTACTTCATAGTTGCTGTAATTGGACGCAGGATATAGTTTAATATTTTTAACGTATATATATATTGGCAGCATCTTTTTTATTATTTCGACATTAAGTAGGGCAATTCTTTCACTTGAGATATTACTTTCAAGTTATTATTTTTTTCATTGCTAAATTATAAATTCACTTACAAATTATAAAAATAAATATTCTCTTTGTCACTACACTCTCTGCCGCGCATGAATTAACGCCCCGACATTGGCTTACAGTGATTAATAAATAAATATTACTTGCAGCTGACTGCCAAACAATTTTTGTGCATAAAAAATTTTAGCTTTTGACTTTTCTCGGCACTTCTAATTAATATTTCATACGCTATACTAACGGCAGCGAACGTACACGACACGCCACGTAGTGTCTGTAATATGAATCATTCAAGTTGTCATGATTATAAGTAATCAAGTGCGTAAACTTTTGCCGCAACGGTAATTCAAGTCTGCGTGGCAAACGGACGCAAACTTTTTAACAGCAAACGCAAATAATTTTCGCTGGATGGAAAGTAAATTTGGTATACGGTAGTCACGTCAGCGCTGAATACTTTGAAGTTTTACAACTTTTTTCGTGAGTTTGTTAATGGCGGTGTATGTATGTATGTATGAGTATATAAATATATTTAAATGTATATACATTTAAACATTTCAATGTCAAATTTTCTTCTTGCGGCAAAGTGGCAAGTGTCAGGTTTACATTCTAACTACTGACAGCGCCACTTTTCGTTATTTATTTCATTCAAACCGGTCAACAAAGTTTGATAGTCACCTACAAATACACACACACACACAACAACAACAAAGCCGATTTTTTTTATTTTGTTGTAAGCAGGAAAAGTTTAGTTGTGGAACTTATGCATGCTACCCCTACTAATACACACGCATACATACATAAACAAGCGCATACACGAACAATCGCCTCTAGGGCTGTTGACCTTTTGGTTCCTTGCTCTCAAATAAAAGTTACTTTTAAATATGACAAACAAACAATAGAGAAACAAGCAAAGTTAGTGCCACAACCTCAGCCCACTAAAAAAAAACACACACACATACGTACACGGTCTCATACATCAGCCACCCGCTTCCGTCGTTTAACAGTTAGTTTTTGCTTCATTTTGTTAACTCTACACCACTTGGCGCGCTACAACATGCCACTTCCAGGTGTTCACTCCTTCAGCTGCTGTGCGCGGGACGCAGAGTGCTCGTTATTGTTGTGCTAAGCACATTCATTTACATATGTACATGTTTCCGCTCTAAACCTGCGTACAAAGTCAAAGTTTAATTGTGTGCAGCGTTTAAATGTTCCGCCACACTTGCAGTCGTGTTTTTTTTTTATTTTTTTTGGTTTTTTGTTGCATGCTTTCGGTCGTTTGACGATTTACAAAGTTTGCTACCGTCACCGCTAACATAGTTGCCTTCACTTGAACGCCTTGACCGCTCACGCATTGAAACTTGCCCCGGGAATCGGCGTAACAAAAGTGTGCGAGTATTTGTGTTGGCCATTGTCAGGAGGACAGCGTTTTGTATATGATAAATACTTCACTTTTACATTGTTCTTGAGGTACAGTTAAGGTTGCGCAAATTGCAAAATGATATGACACTTTGCTGGTAATAAATGTCAGTTCAGCGTTGTTGCCAATTTTTTTCATCTCATACTTATTCCAGTATTTGCATATGCCACGGTTGTCAATACGCTGATGTTGCGCCATAAACTCGTGTTTAAAATTTTATGTTTTTTAACAAGTGTTCAGAACTTACTGCAGTGTTTAAGTAAATATGAGTTTGAGCTTACTCACTAACTTGACAACACATACTGTTGTTTAAAGTTTTGTGTTTAGTAAAATTATGAATTTAAACTAACATGAATGAATTAACAGCATAAATCCAAATCGAATATAAATCGAATCATTTATTTTCTGACTTTATGAATAATTGTTATGAAATGATTAAAAAACTTACAAAAAGTCAAGTCTGCGCTGACACCATAAACACGAGCTTTAAGTTTTCTACTAGTCAACGAGTGATAAGTGCGCTTACTGAAGTGTTTAAGAAATTTTGAGTTTAAACTGACTTACTTCGTAAACTCAAGCTTAATGTACAACAACATGTTAAGCGATATGAACGAACGTTTTAAGAAGCTATGAGTTGCAATTTATTAACACAACTGTTAAACTCAACTTTAATGTTTTGTATTACAAACAACTGTTGAGTATTCGCATTTGAAGTGTTTAAGAGACCTTGAGTTGAGAACTTTTTTCCTTGATTCGCTTAAATTTTTTTTCACTCTATCATAAAGTATCGAAATGTATAACTCTTTGAGATTTAATATAGCGCTACCAAATATAATATTATATTATAATATATCACCACACTCATTTTCTCTGCCGCACACCTTGGCGAAAGCTTTAAAATTTCGATATGCCATGTACGCACCCACACACTCGCACTCGTTTATAAAATAAGACTATCAAATGTAATTTCACAACTGTATGCATTTCAAAGGAGCCTAAAATATTCATCGCTCTCATTTATTATACACTTTCACGCTATCTGCAGATATCCGACGGTATTCCCCACGCTCAATCGCGTTAAGTGCGCACCTATACACATATGCAATGCTTATACTCGTATATATATACGCACCTCATACATACATGCATTTCAACATTTGTGAGGTGACTGGGATTGGAATGAAGTTATGCGCAATTACTAGCTTTCAAAAAAAGTTGCGAATATGAATAAAAGTGGTTGGGCAAACTTGCTCGCACATTAAAAATGTATCAATCAAATGCCAAGTGATTGCAGCAACATAAAAAAGAAGCAGCGCGGAGATAATGTGTATGAGTGTATATATTAGCAAATATATTTCTAGATAGCATGCTCTCCGAATTTGGGTGGATAGTACAGTTTTTGGAAATTTTTTCCGTGCTGAGGTCAAGAGAGATTTTTCGGGTCTTAATTTGCGTTCAATAACCACTACAATGATGTGATTACTGGGCTGATAGTGATATAGTTGCAATATGCCAAATCTAACTACAAAATACGACTATATGAAACCAATTCAATTGTATTTATTTATGTATGTTTGTAAAGTTTTTAAGTGTCACTGAAACTGCACGGCAAAAGAGTCAACAGTTTGATAGGCACTGCAAACATTGTGCCATATTTTTCGTATATCGAACAT